GCCACTGCACCCAGCCCCACAGCCCCATCTAAGCCTCCACCCTGCCCTCCTGTTCCTCAGAAAGCACATGCTCTGTGGAGGGAGCCAGCAGGGAAGTCTTGCTCCCCACCTCTACCTCCATCCCAATCCCAAATCCTGGGGATGGGGCAGGTGGTGCAGGAAGACCAAGTGGGCCAGGTCCCCTGTGGAGCAGCTGAGCCTCCAACTCCTGAGCCAGGCCACGCTAGTGTCATTTGCCATCCATGCTCAAATGTTTCCATCCACCTTTCTTTCTCTTTCTTTTCCTTCCTTCCTTTCTTCCTTGCTTTCCCTCCCTCCCTCTCTCTCCTTCCTTCCTTCCTTTCTTTTCTTTCTTTCCTTCTTTCTTTCTCTCTCTCTCTCCTTCCTTCCTTTTTTTTTTTTTTTTTTTTTCTTTTTCTTTTCTGAGACGGAGTTTCGCTCGTCGTTACCCAGGCTGGAGTGCAATGGCGCGATCTCGGCTCACCGCAACCTCCGCCTCCTGGGCTCAGGCAATTCTCCTGCCTCAGCCTCCTGAGTAGCTGGGATTACAGGCACGCGCCACCATGCCCAGCTAATTTTTTGTATTTTTTTTTAGTAGAGACGGGGTTTCACCATGTTGACCAGGTTGGTCTCGATCTCTCGACCTCGTGATCCACCCGCCTCAGCCTCCCAAAGTGCTGGGATTACAGGCTTGAGCCACCGCGCCTGGCCCCTTCCTTTCTTTTCCTTCCTTCCTTTCTCTCTCTCCCTCCCTCCCTCCCTCCCTCCCTCTCTCTCTCTCTCTTTTCTTTCTCACTGTGTTGCCCAGGCTGGTATACAGTGGCACGATCACAGCTCACTGCAGTCTCAACCTCCTCGGCTCAAGTCATCCTCCCACCTCAGCTTCCGGAGTAGTTCAGATACTATACCTGGCTAATCTTACCTTTCTTTCCTTCTTTCTTTCTCTTTTCTTTCTTTCTTTCCTTCTGTCTGTCTGTCTTGTCTTTCTGTCTTTTTCTTTTTTTTTTGACAAGGTCTTACTGTTTTGCCCAGGCTGGTCTCAAACTCCTGGGCTGGAGTGATCTCCTGCTTGGCCTCCCAAAATGCTGAGGTGACGGACTTGAGCATCTAGCCTCCTGTTTTCTCTTAGAGCTTCTTTCCCACATACCTTGTTCCTAGAGAATAAAAGCTGTCGTTGGACCTAAATCTCAGTGGCCTACAACCGCTCCCGTCTGCCCCAAGTACCCCAACTGTGGTGGCAGTGAAAGCCTCCCAGTGAGCATGTGTTTTTCTTTCTTTCTTTCTTCTTCTTCTTTTTTTTTTTTTTCTAAAATGGAGTCTTGCTCTATTGCCCAGGCTGGAATGCAGTGGTGCGATCTCTGCTCACTGCAACCTCCACCTCCTGGGTTCAAGCAATTCTCCTGCCTCAGCCTCCCAAGTAGCTAGGATTACAGGTGCCTACCACCATGTCTGGCTAATTTTTGTATTTTTAGTAGGCACAGGGTTTCACCATGTTGGCCAGGCTGGTCTCGAACTCCTGACCTCAGATGATCTGCCTGCCTCAGACTCCCAAAGTGCTGGGATTACAGGCGTGAGCCACAGTACCTGGCCATGTTTTTCCTTTTCTTTCTTTTTTTTTTTTTCCCTCACTCAGAGACAAAGGGGGCTACTCCTGGTTCTGGTGCATTCCTGTATCCAAGTCCTGACATGTCTCAAGGGCATCACTATGCTTGCTAGGGAGGGAGGGCCCAGGCCTCCACTGGTTATTCCTCCACATCCCCTGGGGCTTCCCTTGGCTCACCCTGCCCCCGACAGGCCCCTTTGCTTGTTGGCCTGAGGGAGCTGGGTCTCTGAGCCTGGAGGAGATGGCCTTTGCCCCACCGCCCTTGGACTGTCCTGGGCGGGAAGGAGAACAGCTTTGCCTGAGAAACTTGTAGTGATGGGCCCTGCCTCCTGCAGCCCTCCACCTGCATTGTCCTTCCTGTGCCCTCCTTGTCCTCACCGGGGCCATGCGGTCACCCCTGAGGGCTCCGATGTTACTAGGCAAAGGCCTGAGTCTGAGCAGGGCAGGGTGGGGCAAGCTCCAATCCAAAGTCTACCCTGTTATCAGGAGCTCGGTGCTGTCCAGAGACCCCGGCACACACCTTAAGCCAATTTCTCTTCATCCCTAGAAAAACAGTGTGTGCCACCAAATGGGGAGGAAATGTATCTGCTTCCCTTCCTACTACACCCGCGAACTCAACCGGGAAGATACTGCTGTTTGGCTTTAAAAATAGTATATTCTAGCTGGACTTTTATGGTCTTGTGAAGAACACTGTGCTCATGCCCTCCCACACCTGGCCTCTGCCCCTGCCTGGACCCGGCCGGCTGCCCACATCAGCTCTGCACGAGAGCCTCAGGGTCCCTCTGCAGAGGCTTGGTTCCAGGCAGATTTACGAGTTCAGCCTTGGCTGAGGCCTTCTCCCCGTGGCTCCCGGCCACATTCCAGCTGTTCTCCCACATCCTATGCAGCTCGGGGCTGGGACGTTCTGTGTCTCTTTTCCTACCTCTACCCCAATTGATTCAGTCACACCCGCAGCCCTATTTCAGCTCTGCCCTGGCCAGCCCTATGGAGGTACAGGGTCGTGCCGTGTTAGAACCCAGACCCCAACCATTTCCAGACTGCCCAGAGCTCGCTACATTCATGATGACAACAATGGCTTGTGTCTAAGGACAACCTTATTGGAACTCTAGTTGGCCATGCTAGTCCCCTTCCACTCTGAGGGGCTGAAATTTAACAGAAAGGTAATTGTTCCCTGTCTGGACTTTAGGTGCCAGGTTTGAAGCTACATCTGATCTGGAGTTATTTTCAGTGTGTGTAGATTCTACTATTAGTCCTGAAATTACTTCTTTTCTTTTCTTTCTTTCTTTCTTTCTTTTTTTTTTTTTTTTGAGACACAGTCTCACTCTGTTACCAGGCGCCAGGCTGGAATGCAGTGGCTTGATCTTGGCTCACTACAACCTCCGCCTCCTGTGTTCAAGAAATTCTCCTGCCTCAGCCTCCCAAGTAGCTGGGACTACAGGTGCATGCCATCATACCCAGCTAATTTTGGTATTTTAGTAGAGATGGGTTTTCACCATGTTGGCCAGGATGGTCTCAATCTCTTGACCTCATGATCCGCCTGCCTCGGCCTCCCAAAGTGTTGGGATTACAGGCATGAGCCACCACACCAGGCCTCAAATTATTTCTTCAGGGCCAGAGATAAGTTTCACTGAAGCTGTATCACATTTCTGGCACCCCAGGGCAGCGTTTAGATAAAGTCCAAGCAAGGGCAATCTCCATGGGGAGGAGCTGGCCCTAGGGAGCTAATTCGTAGATAGTCTGTAGAAATAACTCCAGAGCATAATTGGAGGAGGGAAGCCTCGAGCACAAATTTTACAAGGAGCCAGTTGAGTTGAAGGCAGGCCTATTTTGTTTTCCCTTGAGGTCAGGTTCCTAACATAATGGAAAGAGAAGACTGTAATGATTACCCCTATGGAACATACACCTGTTCTTTTAAGAGCCTTCGAGGATGTAATTAAGTCTCAATATCCTTCATATGCAAGGCCATAAGTTGTTGCTTGGTTCAATTAAGGTAGAATTGCTTCAGGATAAGATCTCCAACTAGAAAGCTGGGACAATCTAAGTTTCTCTAGAAACTAGAATGTAAACCATTGAAGATTTATGGCTTAACCTGTAGATAAAATTCAAGTCAAGAAAAAGTGGGACTGGGTGTGGTGGCTTACACCTGTAATCCCAGCGCTTTAGGAGACCGAGGTGGGAGGATCATTTGCGGCCAGGACTTCAAGGCCAGCCTGGGCAACCTATCAAGACCCCATCTCTATGGAAAAAAAAAAAAAAAAAAGAAAAGAAAAAAGAAGAAAGAGGAGGCCGGGCGCGGTGGCTCAAGCCTGTAATCCCAGCACTTTGGGAGGCCGAGGCGGGTGGATCACGAGGTCGAGAGATCGAGACCATCCTGGTCAACATGGTGAAACCCCGTCTCTACTAAAAATACAAAAAAATTAGCTGGGCATGGCGGCACGTGCCTGTAATCCCAGCTACTCAGGAGGCTGAGGCAGGAGAATTGCCTGAACCCAGGAGGCGGAGGTTGCGGTGAGCCGAGATCGCGCCATTGCACTCCAGCCTGGGTAACAAGAGCGAAACTCCGTCTCAAAAAAAAAAAAAAAAAAAAGAAAGAAAGAAGAAAGGAGGAGGAGGGAGGAGAGAGGACAAATAATTATTTGTCACCAAGAGCTGGTGAGAGTGCTGTGGTGGAAGGAGGGAGGAGGGAGGAAGGAGGAGGGAGGAGAAGAAGAAAAGAGTGGAAGAGTGCAGCAGGAGCTAAGAGAGAGAAAATGTAGTGGTGAGGGGCAGCTGCTGGAGAGGCCCATGCTACAGAGGCAGGAACCCTGAATTTCTCACTCCCTCTCTAACATTGGGTGAGCACCTCATGATGCAGTTAGAAAGCACATTCCCAGCCGGGTGCTGTGGCTCACGCCTGTAATCCCAGCACTTTGGGAGGCTGAGGCGGGTGGATCATGAGGTCAAGAGATCAAGACCATCCTGGCCAACAAAGCGAAACCCTGCCTCTAAAAAAAAAAAAAGAAAGAAAGTACCCTTCCTCCGTTTCCCCTCTGGCTGTGTGACCCAGCCCAGATCTGTTTACACTTGCAGCTACCAAAAGCCTATCCAGCCACCTGGCTTTCCCGTCAGCACCTGGGGCTGGTACAATCCCAGGCCCCTCCCTCTGCATCTGCCTTTTCGCTATCTGCAGAGGGTTTGCGGAAACCTTAGAGGAGGAAAGCTAGAATGCTTCCCCAACTCAACTTTGAGCCCAATTATACCTCTTTCTCTCCCACTTCCCAGTAGCTGTCACGGAAGAGCCATGGGGAAGTCCCCTCCTGGGGACCAAGGAGGAAGTTCTCCATCCTGTGTCCTCTCGGTACTGTCACAGAAGTGCCACTGCTTCTCTTGATCTGCATGCTGCAACTTGGGAGCTGAGGGTCATGGCTGAGAATCAGAGTGAAGACAGGTGGGGCTGGCAGAAAATCCAGGTCCCTAAGCATGAGTGAGTCACAGTTTGGGAGAAAAGGGTGAGTGTGATAATTATTTGTCACCAAGAGCTGGTGAGAGTGCTGTGGTGGGAAGGAGAGCACCTGCCTCTCCAGAGACTTGGGACCCCACCTCTGCGTCTCTTGTTCTTCGGGTGGGGGTGCTGGCTGCGGTGGAGTCAAGATCAGAGTACCCCAGGCCTCCAGCATAGAGACGAGGTCGCATCGGCCACTTCTTGAGAGGGTGCAAGTAGCGGAGTCCACGCAGGAAGGGTGGCCAGGCGGGGCCAGGCAACTCGTGGCCGAGCGTGCGGGTGAGGTGGGCTATGTAGCTGGCGGCGAGCACCAGCACGTCCAACTTGGAGAGCTTGGTGTCGGGTGGCACAGCAGGCAGAGCAGCCTGCAAGGCCAAGAAGGCCTGGCGCAGCGTCCTGACCTGGCTCCGCTCCCGCGCAGCATTCTCAGGACTGGCCTCACTCTGCACAGAGGGCTCCAGTGAGTGCGTCTGGCCTGGACTCCCATCTTCCCTGACTTCTGAGATCATTTCCAGTGCATGGTCTCCCACCAGAATAGGAGGGTGCCAGGCAGCAGGCACCAGAGGGCCTCAGCCTGCCTTTGCCATCCTCAGCCCTACCCCGTTTTACAGCTGAGGAAGTTGGGGGAAGGCCTGGACTGGGGTCAGATGGCTGCAGATGGCAGAGCTTGGCTCAGAAGCCAGAGCCTGTGTTCTCTCTACTCTGCACATTTTTTTTTACTTTGAGATGGAGTTTTCGCTCTTGTTGCCCAGGTTGGAGTGCAATGGTGTGATCATGGCTCCACACAACCTCCGTCTCCCAAGTTCAAGCAATTTTCCTGCCTCAGCCCTTTTAGTAGCTGGGATTACAGACACACACTACCACATCTGGCTAATTTTGTATTTTTAGTAGAGATGGGTTTTCTCTACTTTGGTCAGGCTGGTCTTGAACTCCCAACCTCAGGTGATCTACCTGCCTTGGTCTCCCAAGGTGCTGGGATTACAGGCGTCAGCCACTGTCCCCAGCACAACTGCACATATTAAAACATTCAATTTTGACATTAGCACTATGAAGTTGGCACTGATATTATTCCCAGTTTATAGATGAGGCACAGAGATGTTAAGAAACTTGTCCAAGGTCCCACAGCTAGCAAGTGGCAGAGGCCAGCTTTGAACCTTGGGCAGTCTAGGTTCCAAGTTAATGCTCTTTATCAAGAAATATGCCCGATAGGCGAGCATGATGGCTCATGCCTATAATCCCAGCACTTTGGGAGGCTGAGGCTGGTGGATCACATGGTCATGAGTTCGAGACCAGCCTGGCCAACATGGTGAAACCCTGTCTCTGCTAAAAATACAAAAAAATTAGCTGGGCATGGTGACACAGCTACTCTGGAGGCTGAGGCAGGAGAATCACTTGAACCCAGAAGGCGAGGGTTATAGTGAGCAGACATCATGCCACTGCACTCCAGCCTGAGTGACAGAGCAAGACGCTGTCTCAAAAAAAAAAAAAAGAAAAAAAAAAGAAAAAGAAAAAGGGAAAAAGAAATATGCCCAATAAATGACTGAAGGTGTAGTGTAGCCTGTAGAATGCTGTTATAGACTCAAGGGGTAGACTTGGCCACTAAACTAACTATGTGACGTTAGGCTTGAGTTTCTTCATCTGAAAAACAGATGCTCTCCCTGACCCTGCTAGGTTTATAATTCTGTAATTTAACATGTATGTATTTCTTTGTCTTTTCTTTTTTTTTTTTTTTTTTTTTTTGAGACGGTCTCCCTCTGATTGCCCGGGCTGGACTGCAGTACCACAATTTCAGCTCACGGCAACCTCTGCCTCTCAGGGTCCAGCAGTCCTCCTGCCTCAGCCTCCTGGGTAGCTGGGATTATGAATGTGTGTTACCACATCCAGCTAATTTTTGTATTTTTGGTAGAGATGGGTTTTTGCCCTGTTGCCTAGGCTGGTATTGAATTCCTGAACTCAAGTAATCTGCCCAACTTGGCCTCCCAAAGTGCTAGGATTACAGGCATGAGCCACCTCACCCAGCCATGTCTGCATTTAGTAATGAAAGTCTGGAGACAATCACTGCAGTTTCAGAAACAAATGAGTAAAAAAGATCAGTTTTGGGAATTTGAAAAGAGGCAGGAAGGATACACAGGTTTGGAATTTCATTCAGGAGCCTGGGGATTGGAATCCAGAGTGTTAGGGAGACTTCCAGCAGATGAAGCCACTTGGCAAGAGAACAGCATTTTGATTCCAGCAGAAGAGAGAGCAGGTGTGGTTTATGGAGATGTGAACAGAGGGCCCAACAGGATTCACCCAGAGCAGAAAGTGCACATGGAGAGGAAGGAGGAGAGAAAGCAGAGTTTGGTAGACAACAGTGACATTGTGTTTGCAAATTGGGACCTGATATTGGGGAAAGAGTAGTCACAATTCCATTATTCTTAAAATTCAAGGTTTTATTTATTTATTTATTTATTTTATTTTATTTTTGAGACAAGTATCACTCTGTCATCCAGGCTGGAGTGCAGTAGTGCTAACCCTAACCCTACCCCAAGTTCAAGTAATTCTCCTGCCTCAGCCTCCTGAGTAGCTGGGATTACAGGTGCGCGCCACCATACCCAGCCAATTTTTGTATTTTTAGTAGAGATGGGGTTTCACCATGTTGGCCAGGTTGGTCTCGAACTCCTGACCTCAAATGATCTACTCGTCTCTGCCTCCCAAAGTGTTGGGATTACAGGCATGAGCCATCGCGCCCAGCCTAAAATGCAAGTTTTATGGTCAAGGCGGCATATAAAGAGAGTCTTTAAGGGCTTTGTGGTGGAAAGACATGGTTTGTATCCCTCCTCCACTGCTTTTTAGCTTGGGATCCTGAGAAAGTGCCTTAATATTCTCCTTGGTGAAATAGGGATTATACAGACACCAAATAGGGACTCGGTAAATGCTATTTTCAATTCCAACGAGCCAGAATGGCTTCTAGCCAACCCCACCCCAAACCCAAGAAAATCAAAACCCAACTAACTCCTAGCAGTGAGGAAAATCTTTGATCTTGAAGAGGAATGAAGATGTCATGTTTACCCCTGTTGTTCCTTTCAAGTTGCTTGAGATTTCTGAGAGCTTAGCCCTCATCTCAGAGAAGCAGGGATGGGAATACAGTGATCGGCAGCAAAGCAAGCAACCCAAAATTAAAAGAAATGAACTTGCTCCCAACGGTAAGTACAGAAGGGTTCCACTAACAAATCTGAACAGGGGTTTCCCCTCCTCAGTCCTGCTTCCTCACCACCTCCCCAGGTAGAGTCAGCTGGGCAGATGCTGGCCAATGGCTGACCCACTTCAGGGGGCTGTTCAGAGAAGGAACTTTGCTTATGCAGCTTCTCAGGGCCCCCCAAATGGAAAAAGCAGCAGCCTTGATGTCACTCCAGGGGAAGACTGGGGAGACAAGACTGTCACATACATAGGGCAGGTGGGAGAGGGTGGAAAAAGCCGACCTACATTAGCTTCCTATGGTTGCTACAACTAATTACCATAGACAGTGGCTTGAAACAACACAAATTTATTATCTCACAGCTCTGGAGGTCAGAGAGCTAAAATGGGTTAGCAGGGCACCATTCCTTCTAGAGGCTCTAGATCAGGCGTCCCCAAACTACGGCCCACGGGCTGCATGCGGCCCCCTGAGGCCATTTATCCGGCCCCCCACCGCACTTCAGGAAGGGGCGCCTCTTTCATTGATGGTCAGTGAGAGGAGCACAGTATGTGGCGGCCCTCCAACAGTCTGAGGGACAGTGAACTGGCCCCCGGTGTAAAAAGTTTGGGGACTCCTGCTTTAGAGGATAATTTGTTTCTTTGCCTTTTCCAGCTATTAGAGGCTGCCTGTGTTCCTTGGGTTTTTTTGTTTTTTTGTTTTTGAGACAGAGTCTCACTCTATCACCAGACTGGAGTGCAGTGGCACAATCTTGGCTCACTGCAACCTCTGCCTCCCAGGTTCAAGTGATTCTCCTATCTCAGCCTCCTGAGTAGCTGGGATTACAGGCGCCCACCATCATGACCAGCTAATTTTTTGTAGTTTTAGTAGAGATGGGGTTTCACCATATTGGCCAGGCTGGTCTTGAACTCCTGACCTCGTGATTCGCCCACCTTGGCCTCCCAAAGTGCTGGGATTATAGGCGTGAGCCACCGCACCTGGCCCATTTCATCTTGTTTTAAACCATTCCCACCTCTGCTTCCTCTTCATGTCTCTGCCTCTAACTCTTCTGTTTCCCTCTTGCAAGAACCTTTGTGATTCCTTTGGGCCCACCTGGGTAATCCAAGATGTCCCCCAATCTCAAGATCCTTGATTAAATCACATCAGTGAACTCCCTTTTGCCATGTTAAGTTAACGTGTTCACAGGTTCTGGGGATTCGGACACAGTCATCTTCAGGGTACCATTATTCAGGCCACCACACTACCTAAGTTTTGGTATCCAAAAATTTGGCTCATCTCCCTAGCAACTTTGTGACCTCAAACAAGTCACTTCTCTCTAAACTTGTTGGCTATATCATTAGCAATATGTCACTTGATTTCATTACTTTGAGGGTTTATGGAGTCTTCTGTATAATATGTGTACCACTGAGTCTTGCGTGGTGTGAGTGCTGGTTCCTCATCCCTTCTCTACCACGTGAGTTGACATTGCGCAGTTGAAGGTTGGGAGAAGGCACTGGGACTCTTGCCAGTGGTTGCAGGCTGAATTCCTGAGAGAATTGACTTTGCGATGGAGATACGCATGCAGGAAGTTTATTAAGGAGTGGTCTTAAGGCGGACCCCTGTACAGGAGTGTGAAAGAAGCAGGACTAGGCAGAGGGAGAAGTTGGGCTGCCATGAAAATGTAACAAAGGCCCATGGGAAACTCAGAGTTGACTCCAGTTAGGGCAAGGGACCAGGCTTTTCTATCCCTCCATGAACTAGTCATTACATGAGTTGCCCAGGAGGGCCGCGACATTGGCCAAGGTGGCTCTCTCCCACAGAGACAATCCTGGGTCGGGGGGAGTCATCAGTGACCCACACTTCCAGCACCTGCGGGAATGCGTGCCCTAGTCACGCAGCAAAGATCTGCAGAGTGTCCCATGGCATCCACTACAGCCGCTAACCCTCTTGGCTTATTAAGGGAAGACCAGAGAGAAAAGAGAAGCTAAGTGTCCTAGCAAGGTGTACACCTCAGAGGCTCCGAGCTTTTGTTCCCAAGCAGGTGAGCCTGACTCCAAATCCCTTCTTCCCATTCTGTGATTTGGGGCATGCCCTTTAACATCTTTTTGTCTCATCTTCCTCAACTCTAAATTAGAGGATTTACCTCTTAGAATTATTGTAAGGATGAAATAGACAGTCCATGTCTCTGCAACAATGGATGACGGGTCCCATACATGTCAGGTTTTGTGGTTAATAGTATTCTCACAGCCCCTTGCCTGCTTGTCCTTTTTGGCTCAATCTAGATGTTTAACATATGAGCTGGAAAGAATAAAGAAGACTCCTACAAGAACACTCATCATGATTTAAGACGTGTAT